CGTGAGCTGCTCTCCCAGTGTCTTACGTCCTTGTGTGGTTTTCAGGCTGTCAAAATCCTCCTCCTTCTGGGAAAGCCTAGAATGAACCATGAGGTACAAGATGACAATTGAAAAGGTCAGTTTAAGCTCATGTTTAGCTTAACATACACCCAGAGGCATCTCCATCTCTGTCTGTCTCCACCTCTATCCGTTGTTGTTAGCTGCGGCCCAGTCACCTCTGATGCCTGGCCTCCCCCTTGTGCCCTGTAGTGTAAAACATTGCAGTGATACAGTCAGGCTTGACATCACTCTATTAAACATGGTGGCTCTTCCTTGTTGGCATGGGAAGTTGGATACTATTTCTGTTTTCTGGCGTCCTTATTTCAGTGGCTGATCGAGTCTCTGGGGGCTTATCTGAGACGTTTTTGCTGGCTGTAACAGGGTTGAAGATGTAGTTTACTTGCAGCATGAAGAATCCCTGTGCGTGGGATCCCTGCTGCTAGAGAAGCTGGCCTCCACCCTGCTGGGTGAGGCACTCACTGCCCCTGGGAGAGGACAGTGGGCTGTCCCGGGCATCACCTCTGACTCTGACCTGAAGGCAGCTGTCTACCCTATGTCATTCCCGGGGTCTTTATACCTCTTCCCTGTCAATCTCCTTGCACAGGCACACCTTGGAGATACCGCACCAGAATAAAGCTAATAACACAATAAAGGAGTCACATGAAGTTGTTGGTTTCTTAGTCCATATAAAAGTTATGTTTACACTTTAGTGTGGTCTAGTAAGTGTGTCAAGGCGTGATGAAAAGGTTTTCCATGTTGTGAGAATTACCAAAATGTGCCACAGAGACATGAAGCGAGCACATGCTGTTGGAAAAATAGCACCGACAGATTTACTCAATACAGGGCTGCCATAAACCTTTGATTTTTTTTTTTTTTTTTTTTTTTTTAAAGCAGTATCTGAGAAGTGCAGGCAAGTGCAGTGGAATATGTGGTTCGATCTCTGTCTCATTTCTTGGACCATTATTTTCATGTTCTTTTTCCTCTTGATCTTCGCATTTAAAGACTCTTTAAAAATGGATTTACAGGGATTGACTCTGTGGTTCTGCTGCCTAGAGAGGCAGAGGAGCCCTTGGGGGTGCAAATGGTTAATGCGCTGGGTGGCTAATCCAAAGGCTGTGGGTTCAATCCCCCCAGAGGGGTCTTGGAACAAAGACCTGCCACCTACTTCTGAAAAGTCAGCCACTGAAAACCGACTGGAGTGCAGCTCTACTCTGACACGTGCGGGATCGCCTGAAGCTGGGGCCCACTCCACAGCAAATGGGAGAAAATCAGGCAGGACTTAAACATTTTTAGACTAAGCAGCTAGTAACAAGGCATTTTGTCCAAGAAGAATCTCTTGACTACTCTCTCGCAGGCACAATTACTTGCAGAACCAGCCCACTGTGAGCCCATGTGGCAGATGGGCGAATTAGCAGAAGGTGCTCTCTCTAGGCAAGAGGCAGCTGTGCAGGCGGAATCTTAGGGAGGAGCTAGGGCTGGATTTCCAAACCCAAACATCTACTCAGCCGGGCAGGCTTGTGCAGGAGACAACCTACACAACCATTCACTGTGCTCCCCGCCTCAAATGTACAGTGAGTAGAAGCCCAGTGTCCTGGAGGAAGAATGTTTAAGACAATCTCTTCTCTTTGCTGGTGTCTGGGGAGAGGTTGCAAATTGTATTGGAGTCCCCTGGGAGAAATAGGACTGAGCCCTAGACCCACTGTGTGCTGGAGCAGGCTTGACGGGTTCGTGAGAGCCAGTTGTTACATTTTCAGGAATGTTGTGAACTGGTTGTTAAACACAGCCATTAATTAAAAAAATAAATTATATAAGCTTAAAATTAAATAATTATATTCATAACAAATACTCAAATTCATCACTTCCCAATTAATGACTGCATTTGGTATTATCTGTATTCTTGAAATTGTTTATGTCTACAGTATCTGTAAGGTAGAAATACTATATAATGTGTTACTGCACTTCTCTTCCCAACTCTATGTTCAGTGACACCATGTTTCTAGAATCTCACATTCAGATGGTCCTGACTGAGGTCATCTTGTGGGAAAAGACACCAGAGACCTCAAAGAAGGACTCTCTATGAGGAGAGGAAGAGGTGGACTGGGAACCATGGCTATACACCACAAGAGGTGGCTGAAGTGGGGAAGACCAGAGACATTAGCATCAGAAGGACTTGGCTTTGAGTTCTGACCCTGGCACTTCCTGTGTGTGACTTTGCACAAGTAAGTAACCTTACTCGGCCTCAGTTCCTTCACCTGTGACATTGGTTGGTATGGAGATATGGTATGGTAGTATGCGGGTATTATGCTATGAGGTTCTTATTGTACTGCTAAGCACAGAGCAAATGCTCACTGCAGGATAGCCATCACTAGTTAGGTTTTCTCTAGTTGACAGTATGGATAGGAAATATCTTGCCCTTCTTTAGGTGAATTACAGCTGTCCATAGTCTCAGATGATGTCTGTGTTTAACAGATCTCTTTTCAGTCCATTAGTTTGTTTTTCTGTTCTTACTAGGAGCTCAGATCCCAAGAACCAGTTGCTTTTGTTTCTGTTTTTAAAAGCAAAGACCAGCTTTGGCTACAAATAAGTAAACATGAGTATATTTTATTACCAAGTCTGGCTCTCAGCAACCATTATGTGTCAAAGCTCAGAATGAAGACAATGACTGTTAGGGAGACAAGCCAATATGTTGAAGACACAAATGTTAACAAAACTGTTTAATGTGTCGATCAGTGTCCTACAGCCACTAAAAGACACACCACAACATAGATTCTTATACTTAGTGTTTGGCCTATTTGCTACATGTTGACTGTGCCACCAGAGTGATTTCCCAAGGCCTAAATCTGATTACGTCCTTCACTCAGTAGGAATCCCTAATGACGGCCTTGCCCAAAGGACCAATCCAAAGCTTAGCAGGCAAAACCATTGCTAATGTGATCCAAACAGACTTTTCAGCAGCCTCACACCTGCCTCCTTCCTTTGACTAGGAGTTTGCCCCAGGAGAATCAACTTTACCACTTCTCAAATACCTCCTGCCCAGTTATACTGCACTTCTGCCCATGCCCTTCCACCTTGATTTCTCTGAAGAGTTTCTATTCATTCTTCAAAACCTCAGCACAAACACATCTCTGTGAACTGTCCCTCAGTTCCCCAGAGCTGTGAGTTCCCTCCTTCGCTTATGTGCAGAGCCCTTCTCATGCCTTCATTAATGGACTTACAGCATTCTGTTGAATAATGGACATCTGTCTCCATTTGTTGTTGTCATACGCTGTCGAGTTGGACCTGACTCATAGCGACCCCTCCTCGGGTTTCTGAGGTGGTATCACTACGGAAGTAGATTGCCCAACCTTCCTTCTGAGGAGTGGCTGGTGGGTTTGAACCGCCAGCCTTCTGGTTAGTGTCAGGTGCCCTAGGCACTGCGTCTCCATTACTGGCCTGGAAATGAACTGCCCAGGTGTAGTCTGATAGGCTTATCTTTGTACCCTCAGACCACAGCACAGTGCTTGGCAGAGAGTAGGGAGTTAAGCCGGGGAATGAATACAGACCCCTAAACCCAAACCATTTCTGTTGCCATTAAGTTGGTTCCAACTCATGGCGATGCCATTACCATGCATTTTGAGTTATTTTTCCAGGACAAGGGTTAATAGCATGATTTCTGGAGTCAGTCTTTGCTTCAAATTCCAGTTCTATCATTTGCAAATGAATTTAGTTGCCTTACTTAATGTCTCAGTTTCCTCTACCGACAAATGGGAGTAATATTAATCTCATAGGATTGTAACCCAACCCGACCCACTGTCATCGAGTTGATTCCAACTCATACTAACGCTTTAGGACAGAATAGAACCCCTTCATAGGGTTTCCAAGGCTGTAAATGTTTATGGAAGCAGACTGTTTCATCTTTCTCCCATGGAGCATCTGGTGGGTTCGAATCACTGACCTTTGGTTAGCAGCCAAATGCTTTAACCACTATGCTACTAGAGCTCCTACACAGAATTGTAAGGAGTATTAAATATGAAGTTATGCTATTTAACAGTGCCAGACAAAATAAGCACCCAACAAAGGATAGCAGTAATTATTGGGCCAAAGCATTCATGTTTCTCTTGACAGACCCCTGTGTGTCTAGCAACACTATGAGACAAATGTCTTGGAACAGATTTTGTTGGTGTGGAATCAATCCACTTGAGAGTCAGCCTGCTGACCTTGCTTCCGTTGGCACTGTGCTCAGCCTAATTGTATTGCAAGATCAGAAGGAAGATTCCAATGGGTGGGATCTAGAGAAGCAAGAAAAGCTAAACCAGATAGCAGTTGAGTGGCTGTTACCCCTAGCTACATTTCACATGGGCAAGTCAATGGTTTCTTTGTTGCTGTCCTTGGTTACTGTCCGTGAGGACTACTGAAAATCTAACTGCATTTCCCAAGTATGTTAGAATCTCATAATTCGTGTGACCATGGATCAACTCAGTTTTTGGAAAAGCAGCCGATGGGGGTGTAATCCACAACTTTAATGAACATTTAGGCTTTGAAGTTGAACATATGGAAGGAAAATTAATGAATTGGTTTATTTATCTTTCCTGTAACTTAACCATTCAATCTTTATCTGGAACATACACGCTCCTGTGAGATGCATATTCTAAAAATTTTATTACAAATGCATAGCTTCCCCCCCCCATCAACTTCTGATTCCATTTGTGCTTCATTTGTGTTAGAAAATATTCCATTACTACCCAAAAGGAAAGGTGAGGGACATCCCAGATACATGCTAAGCCAGCAAGATATTTCATAAGCGTCTTGAGGATGATGCCCTTAACTTAAACAGCAGGCCCTGGCTGCACGGATCGAACTGCCAAGAAAATAACCAGGAATCTTGAGGGTTTTTCATCTTGCAGTCATACTTGCAAGTCTGGTTTGGAAATTGCTCTTGACAGAGCTGTTTCCTCCCTGTGCTCCTTCTTCTCTGGCTCGGCTCAGTGCAAAAGGGCCACCAGAAGTTTCTGGAAGTCTCCAGAAGTGTCAGAGCGAACCATGTCAGACAGAGACTTCTGGTACTTCTCTTGGAACTTTGCTTTTATCCTTTGAAGGTCAACCTGTAGGAGAGAGAACAGCAGCAAGGGGACAATGTTTATGAAACATTCACCATCAACAGAAAATGCTGTTGAAAGCCCTTGATGTTGGTCTGCTCATTTAGGCCTCAAAACAGACTCTTGAGGCAGGAGCTGTTGTTATTTCTGTATTGCAGATGAGAAGAGGAAAGCTGAGTTCAGGTCTTTGAAGCCACACAACTCTGTGTGTGTGTGTGTGTGTGTGTCTATGTGTCTATGTCTGTGTGTTCCAGTAAAACTTTATATTAAAAAATAAAATAAAACCAAACTCACTGACATTGAGTCGGATCTGACACATAGCAACCCTTTCCTGGGTTTCCAAAGCGGTACAACAACAACAACAATCACTACAGAAGATTGCGCAACCTTCCTTCCAATGAGTGGCTGGTGGGTTTGAACCGCCAGCCTTCTAGTTAGCAGTCAAATGCCTTAGGCACTATGCCACCAGAGCTCCCAAAACTTTATATATGGACACTGTAACTTGAATTTCTATTGTTTTTTTGTGTTATGAGATATTATTCTTCATCTGAGTTTTTTGTTTTTTTCCCCAACTATTTCAAAATGAGAAGGGTGGTACAGATGGCTAAAAATCCTTGACTGCTAAGCAAATCCAGCCAGCTGGTCATTCAGACCCAGAGAGAGGCATCACAGAAGATAGGCCCAGCAATCTGCTTCCAGAATGTCACAGCCTGTGAAACCCTACGGAGCAGTTCTTTGTACCTATGGGCTTGCCGTGAGTGGAGACTGACTCGACGGCAACTAACAAAAACAACATGTAAACATGAGTGCTCTTAGGGAGCACTGCTGTACGAGGACAAGAGGTGGGACAGATTGGACCTGCAGGCTTTGGCCTGCTGACCCTTGGTGTGTGGAAGCTTAAGAAAGTTGTCAACACAGAGATTTACAATTAAGTATTTTCCTCTTGCACCTCTGATCAGCAAGGATATTAGTGCCAATCAAGAAAATTCCAATCAATGTCAATTTGGAGGACTTAGGTTGAAACTTATTCATCAGCAGTTTGGAAAACCTAGGTGCTGGAGGTGGGTGACGATTCAGAGGGAAAACAAGTGAAAGATTTCTCTGCCCTGAAGAATCTTACAACCTAGTAAGGGAGTCATTCTTGCACCAGATAGGATAGAGTCCCAGATGTCAAGTAAACCAGTTGCTGCTGATTCAATTCTGGCTCGTGGTGACCTGGACTTGACCAACTGTTTGCACTACCCAGGAAGTCCACAGGTCCAGAGAGAACATCATGAGGCTCATTAAAGGGTCACAGAGCTGTCTTGAAGCAGGGGTGGGAGGGGGTTTGGTTTAGATTCTCCCTTGCACCCCAGACCCAGGAACTGAACTTAACCAAGAGAGAGAGCAAGAAGACAACAGCAGAAGGCAGGAGAGTGGGGGAATTGTCCGAAGCAGATGCTGGTCAGAAGGAGAGAAACATAGGTCGATGGTCTGACAAGTCCCCCTGCTCCCCTGGCTTGTACCCGTTTGAGTCCTTGCCCAGGGCTGAGGGAGAGGCAAGAAGGTGGGGCCAGTGTAGGTACTCTATTCCAGCACCACATGGCTTTAAGGGATTAAGAGAAACAGCCAATCTATGTCCAGCTGGAAGTCCCTGGGTAGTGCAACAGAGCTGTAAACCAAAAAGTTAGAGGTTTGAGTCTACTCTGAGGTGCCTCAGAAGAAAGGCCTGCAATCGGCTTCTGAAAAGCCAGCCACTGAAAACCCTACGGAGCCCAGTTCTACTCTGACCCAGATGGTCTCCAGGAGTGGGTGTTGACTCAAGGGCGACCGGTGTATCTGGCTGGGCCTGAAGCCTTCTGAGCAAACAGTCCCAATCTAGAGATGAACCAGGGCCTTGGTCAATATGGAGATAAGTCAGCCTGTCTTGGAATAAAGCACCCCATGGCCCATGTTGGCATGAGCATGAAATCCTGATGTGCCCTCCAGACGGATCCAATCTTCCTGGAGGTCTTCTAGAATGCTGGCTTTGCTCTGTTGCCAACCTGCCTCCTTTGGGTCCCTCAAGACTTCTCAGTGAGTTTGGCTATGAGTTGAGTTGATAAGAGACAGCAAGAGGCAGTGTGACCTGGAAAGGGGAGGGAAAGAGACAGATGCAGACAGAGGGAGGAGGGAAAGAAGAGAACGTGCAGAGAGACTGGGACAGGGAAAGAGGTGGGAGAAAGGGAAAGGGAGCTTTAAGAGGAAAGAAAAGATGAGTAGTGGAGGAAGAGGGAGAGAAGAAATTCCAGAAATAGAAATAAAAACGAAACAACTGTCCTGTTGCTAAGTTATATTGAAAAACAGTGTGAGATGTTAAGTATTATTTGTCAAAAAGCTGTGGATCAGAATTTGGCTTGGTATCTTTATCCTTTTGACAGTTTTCTGAGGGAAGATATCTGTGGTACTCAAGGGCTAGTTCTACTTTGTTCTCCAAGGTTCTCTGACTGCAACAAAATGCCATTTACTCCTGGCTTTGTAACGTCTGTGGCTTTGTGTTCCAACACACTGGTTGTTAACCTTGACAGCGGCTTCCAAGCTTTCGGCTACTCACTCCCTCCCCCTTCCTCTTGTTATACTCATGCATTCTCAACAGGGGTGACATCATCCCTAGAAAGCAAAAATTGGTTCTTGAAAGGGGCTAAAAAGTGTAATCTTTTAAATGTATTGCTATGGATTGATTTGTGCTCCCCAGAATATGTACTGAAGCCCTGGCTCCTGGATCTGTGGGTGTGATCCTATTTGGCAATAGGGTGTTGCTGTTGTTATGCTGATGAGGTTCTACCAGAGTAGGGGTGGACCCTCAACCCAATCACTTCTGAGTTATAAACAGAGCCGAATAGACAGAGACAGACACATGGGAGGACAGACAAGAGAAGCATTTCTCTTTCATACCCTGATCAGCAGGGATATTTGTGTCAATCAACAAAATTCAAATTAACGTCATCTCTCAGCCCAGAAATGTCAAGGATTGTTGACCGACACCAGAAACTAGGAAAGAAGCCCATGAAAAGAATCAGCATGGCCAGGAGCCTGACTTGGACTTTCAGCTTCCAGAACTGTGAGAAAATAAACTCAGGTTCTTCAAAACCACCCCCTTGTGGTATTTTTTGTTATGGCAGCGCTAAGTAGCTAAGACATGTATCCTGTTGCCATCGAGTTAATTCCAACTCAGAGTGACATTACAGGACAGAGTAGAACTGCCCATAGAGTCTCCCAGAGGCTGCAATCTTTACAGAAGCCGACTGGCACATCTTTCTGCTGTGGAGCGGCTGGTGGGTTTGAACTGCTGACCTTTCAGTTAGCAGCCAAGTTCTTAACCACTGTACCACAAGAGCTCCAAGACACAGATACACACAGAATACAGAAACAGCTATATGGTATATCTGCAGTGATAAAATTTCATAGTGGGGGCAATTAGGAAAAAAAGGTCAAAAAGGCTCCCTGGGGGGGAGGCGATCATGAAAAGGAGGTTGAGAAACACTGTCTTATATTGACATGTTTCTTGTACAAAAATGTGCTTCTGCACTGTGTTCAGTTAAATGAAGGCCCTGATCAGGAGTGTCATTGTTTCTGCTCTTGGGTGACTTCATCAGTATCCAATCTGTTGCCATCTCTGTTTTGTCTTCCTTAAAATGTAGCTGAACACAGCTGGAATACCTCACAATGGGTCTACAAGATCCCCAAGTCATACCACCTTGAGCTCTGGAGCCATGATGACAAAATACACACACACACACATACATGAAAGCATCTTATAAAAAAATAGAAACAGATGGAAGCCTAGTACGATGTCTTCTACAAATTTTGGGAAGACAAGCACCACCTCCGTTTTGTTTTCTCTGTAAATGGGCTCTGAATAAAAATGATTTGTTGATGACACCAGTGATGGAGAAAAGAGAAGTTTTATCCCACCTCTTGGTCATTGAGTGCATCTTACCTCAGCCCTGGTCACAATGACACGGATTAATGTCTCCTCATCGGTGCCTGCGCCCTTCATGGACTTGTAGAGACACTCAGCAAAGTAGCCCTCGCGGTCTCGGGCACACTTCACTGGGCAGGAGGGAGGGAAATGAGAATGTGAGGCTTTCTGGTTTTGTTGAATAAATAGGACCCTGAGAAGGAACAAAGCTGGCCCCCTGCAGCTGACTTAGTTGTGAGGCAGATGTTTATAATGGGATCTGGAAGATTCTCCTGGGTCAGGGCACCAGAGCTCTTCAACCAGAGCCCGGGCAAAACCACAGTAGCCAAATGAGACCCTATTTTGTTCTCGAAGACCCTCTGGACACAAGAGCTGTCCAGCCTCGGGCTCTCCCCGGAAGTTCATGATTCTCACCAGCAGAAAAATCTTCTCACATCTGAGTGCAGTCTCCCAGGCTGGAGTTGGGTTCTGAGTGGAAACACAGATTGGCTGGCCAGCAACTTGACTGTAATAAAACTTCATGATCTTGAAGATTTATTCAGTTGGACTGTAGCCAACTTTCCCATGCAAAACAGTTTTGCTACCCTTTGTTTTTCTTCACTAGGTTTGTTTTTTGAGCTTTATCGCTGAATCTTTTCCATGTTCCCCACAGTCTTCGTAGTTTGTGATCTGGGATATGGAGTCGAGGAAATGCCCGATCCTCTCTATGGATCAAGAGTGTCTGGGTGGTGCAGATGGTTAAGTGCTTGGCTGCTAAGTGAGAGGCAGTTCAACTCTACGCAGGGGTCCCCAGAAGAGAGACCTGGTCATCCACTTCTGACAGGTCGCACCACTGACAACCCCAAGGAGCCCAGCTCTGCTCTGGCACACAGGGTCACCACGAGTTGGAATCAACTCAACAGCGACTGGTTTGTTATCATTATTTTTTCTACATATCATCTTCCTAGGATGCTGGCATTTGCTTTTTTCTGGCCCTCCCTTTGCTGGCCAATTGAATCCACAAGTTAATGAAGCATGGTTTCTACTCATCGTCCAAGTGACAGGGTCCATCTCTACTCCTGGGGATAAGTCATTATTCCTCTCCCCCTCCACCAGGCTTATATGGATCCATCGGGACTCACTTTGGGGGAACAAACCACTTACTTTTTAGGCTATTGATAATTCCCTAGAATGCTTAAAATCACTTGACGTTGGAGCAGTGGATTCAGCATTGCTGTGGAATGTGTCTTTCGTGTGTCCTTCACATGTCATTTCCTGGGGACCTTGTCTCCCAGGTCATTGCCCATATGACTGATCCTCCTTAGCAAGGTTGAGGAGCGGGATTAGGAAAGCAGAGTCTTGGTTGGGTTTGTCTCACAGAGCCAAGCGAATGGCACCCAAAAGCTGCCGGAGCGGGGGAACCATTATCTGGGGAGCAGTGGATGTGAGACTCACTGTGATCCCTTGGGAGTCCCTGGGTGGTGTGAACAGTGAATGCCACCAGCCCCTAATCAAAGGGTTGGAGGTTCAAGTCCACCCAGACGTGGCTTGGAAGAAAGGCCTGGTGATCTATTTCTTAAAAAAAATCAGCCAGAAAACTCCGTGGATCACTGCAGCCGATCCCGACGTTCATGCAATTGCCATGAGTCAGGGGCCAACTCGATGGCAGCTAACAACAACAAAAACAATCAATGTTTGGTGTGTGTCCATCATGACCTTGAAGCTCCTTGAAAATATGAATTGGGTCGTATTTGCCCATGATCTGCTCCTGGGTCCAGAGAAGTGCTGAGTAAATGTTCAATAAGTGAGTGGTTTTATCCGCATTTTCTGAGTGCATTCTGGCGTTTTCTCTGATTCTTTCCCACTGCAAGCACAGAATGGGTTTGCAGCCTCCAAGCCAAGCTACGAGCAGATCCCTCCATCTACTCGACTCTGCCTTTAAGCCCTAAGGACAGTTGTCTGTTCAAGGGCTCATGTGTTTACAGTGTGGGTCAGGAGTCACACTAGGGACGTTCAGGCATGCGTATGTCATGGCAGAGGTCCCACTCATCTGAATGCAAAATAAGGACAGATGAAAAAAATCAATTCCTGACATTCCGTAACCCCTCTCAAAAAAAAAAAAAAAAACTTTGGCAACTGAAGCACATTTTTTGACTTCCAAGACTGCTTTTTTGGTTCTTCCTCTTCTTCTGATGATACACCTCTCCGTTTCTTGTGCCATTTGGGACAGTGCCCTGGACCCCTCACCACAGGAGTGTGGGCAATGGACAAAGCCTTTAGACCAGGGCTTGCAAAGAGAAGAAAATCTGCCAGACACAGCCCTGTCCATTGTTCGCTACTTTCTGCCCATGGGCAAAACCTGGAGAGAAGGTCCTGGTGTTTGCTTGGCGTGGTCCAGATCTGGTCTCCCTCCCTTCTCTTTTTAAACAACCTTCATTCTTTCCAAGTGTTGAAAGAACCAACCGGGAAAGGAAACCCTCAAGCCATCAGGCTCATGCAACATCTTGTTCATGGACCCTGAGCTTGGGTACTTATGAACCTTATGCTGCCCGCTGAGGCTAGATAATGGTCCCAGCTGTAGACAGGTACTTGCAGGGACCCACGGTCTTGGTGGGGCTGTAGTGGATGCTATGGTGCACCACTCAGATGCCACTCCTCCAGCTGACTGCTCATAGCTGAGTCTCTCCCCAGGAATTGTCCCCGACCAGAGGGAACTGCCTCGCCCAAGGCAATAAATGTTTCCGGGGTGCAGTCAGGGTCCAGTGACTGGTTGATGTGGGTGCAAAGACCTGACTCCCTTGCCTCCACTTTGGGCACCCCAGTTTCAGAGTTCCTGTGGAAACTGCCAAGGCTCTGTCACAACCACAGTCAGCTTCTCCCTTGCCCAATGCTACTTAGAGGTGTTGGTCCAAAAATCACTCCCTGCACACAACCTGCACACATGGGCCACTGTCTCTGAATCTGTTCTAAGGAGCCCACCCCAAGACGGGGACTGTCTCATGTTTACTCTACCGAGAGTTAGGTAGGCTTTCTTCAGATCCCCTGAGGTTTCTTCTTCGATGGCCTCTTCGATGTCTTTGCCGATAAGCTAGAAGACAAAGACCGACCGTTAGTCCAGGTTTTGCTTTTGGCCTTGGAGCTCTTAAGACTGTTCCTCTACAAAAAAAAAAAAAAAAACCTCACTGCTGCGGAGTTGGACCCGACTCAAGGTCGACCCCTCCTTGGGTTTCTGAGGTGGTATCACTATGGAAGTAGATTGCTTGGACCTTCTTTCCGAGAAGTGGCTGGTGGGTTTGAACCACTAACTTTCTGGTTAGCAGTCAAATCAGTCAAATGCCTTAGGTTCTATACCACCAGACCCGCTTGTTCCTCTACAGAAAGCCCTAAATTCTTCTGATTTCATCACCTGGCTGTAGGGAATGCCTATCCGGCCTGGTACCTTGTAGGGACAGGTGGTGTTTCCATCCATTGGAAAGGGAGCACCTGTCACTGAGGAGCAGTGTCAGATTACCCAATAAGCAAGGTAAGCATGGGTTTCTTGTGCTTGCTTACTAATCTGTGTGAACAACTCCACATTTAGTCGTCACATCAAAGATTCTGGTTCTGGATATGGCTGGCATCTGTGTCTCTCCCAACCCCATAGCACCTTCCTACAGGATCAAAGCCTCTCTTCAAATTTACAATCCCTGACAGGGACAGAGTACCCAGTAAGCACAAATAAGCACAAGCTTACTTGTGCTTTCTTGCTAATCTAAAGTGAACAGCTTCACATGGGTTTCACCACACAGGGTGGCCATGAGTCAAAGTCAACTTGATGGTAACTGGTGATTATTATGGTTTTACCCCACTCCCCGCCCCGCTTGGCTCCCTGGTCCTGGATGAAGGGACTCAGTCACCTACAGTTTGAGTGAAATAAGTAGAGGCTGTGAAGTCCATGACAAGGCAATGGTCTAGCTTTCTTCTTTTGTTTGCTGACAAGGTGCTGTGATGTGCGCTGGGAGCTGGGAGGCTGAGCATGTCAAAATGCCACTTTTCTTCACTCTGGGGTGATCCAGGGGTGAACATATATTCACCACTGGCTCACGTGTTGTTCTGTATGGCATTACACATTAAGTTTCTTTCCAAATATTTACAGAAGCTGAAGTTTAGAGTAAATGGTGACTACGCTTAGCACAAATACTGCTCAGAACAACCTCAGGGCAGACAAATAAAGAGAAAAGAGAGCCCTTGACTGGGTCTGGGAAATGGAGTGAAGTGTTAGAAATACTGAAACGTCTTTCTTAGAAGTTATCTTTTGAGGATATGACACAATTGATTCTATAAATAATCAGAGCCTTTGCATACACAGCAGTGGAGTTCATGTGGTTTATTCTGAAAACACACATAAACAAAACCCCATTTTCAATGCAACCGCAAGATATGTGGGGGAGGAGGGTCGAGACTGAGTGAAGCATGACCTCCTAGAAATATCCGGAGACCTAGGTGTGTGCTCAGGGGGCTTGGATTTGGAGGGACGTGGGGGCTTTCCACCCTTAGCCCTCACGCCGTCTTGGGTCTGGTGTGGGAAGTTAGGATTTCTGGAGGAACTGCTACCACTTTCCCATAAACAGTGTTCTCATTCTGTAGACTAGGATTCCATCTCGAGAGGACATCTTGTTTACACAAGTCTGCATTTACTAAAAGTCCTCGATTAGACCACTTTCTGTTTCTATCGTTAATGCTGGGTGAATGTTTCTCATCTTTTGTGGCATCTCAGCCTTTGTAGGAGGCAAAAGCAGAAAGGCAGCACTGTCTGGGAGGCAAGGGTTCTCCTAACCGGAAGCCGAGACATTCATGCACATGTCTGCCCTCTCGGGGCCTCCTCTTTGCACAACTCCAGGGGACGCTAGTCACACAGTGCAATGTGAACTGTGCTTGCTGGGGTCTGGCAGCAGAAGGTATTGCCCCTCTACCTACCTCCTGCCCCCAGCCCTTTCCTGACAGCTTCCAAGGCCACATGGAACACAATTTGAAAACAAGTGAATGGCCCAAGTTACTGTGACTCTCATTGGAGAGTGGCAGGGTTTTCACTTCAGTTTCTGGAACAATGAGTATTTAGGGGGTTCTGTGGACAGAGCCAGATTTCTGATCTCAGTGGAAAAACACATTGCCAGGGTTCTCAGGCCTCACAGGCCTCTAGCTAAACAGACAGCAATGCCTGTAGATGGGTTGCAGTTCTTGGGTGGTGCAATGGTTAAAGTGCTTAGTCGCTACCCTAGAGGTTGGAGGTTTGAGTCTACCCAGTGGTGTGTCAGAAGAAAGGCCTGGTGATCCACTTGTGAAAAACCAGCCATCGAATACCCTGTGGAGCAGTTTGACTCTGACACAGACAGCAACGCTCATATGGAGGTCAGAATTTCTGAGCAGTGTGGACGGTTAGCATGCTTGGTTGCTACTGGAAAGTTTGGACCTTCAAGTCCACCCAGGCGCTCCTCAGAAGGAAGACCTGGCAAACTATTTCTGAAAAATCAGCCATTGAAACCCTATTGAGTACAGTTCTACTCTGACACACATGGGTCACCATGAACTAGAATCGACTCAACTAGCAACAACAACAGGGAGGTTGTTTCTTTCTTTTAAAATGGATTTGCCCACATTGGCAGCATGCCCACCACAGAGCCCTCTGCACACTGGCTTTGCCTACAGCAGTCAAGGGGTGGGAAGCTCTGGAAGGGGCTTAAACCAGACCCAACCCATTGCCACTGAGTCGATTCCGACTCACAGCAACCCCCACTGGGTTTCCGAGGCTATAAATCTTTACAGAAGTAGATTGCCCCATCTTGCTTTCTTTTGCAGAGCTGCTGATGGGTTTAAATCACTGACCTTCCAGTTAGCAGGCAAATGTCTTACCACTCTGCCACCAGAGCTTAGGAATACACAGAAGGGAAAGGAGAAATGGTGAGGAGGGTGATGGGGTCGGAGTGAGGTTGGGCTGCAGGTCTGTGTACCTGTGATTTCTGTTGACCTCTGTTGGGGGACTTACCTTGGTTTTATAAGGGTGACTCGTACACTTTCATATTTGGTAAAATGTAGGTGTGTAATAGCCTTACATGAAGCAGCCGATTTGGGAAAGCTCTGTTGCCAGGGCTGGGATTGCTGAGAGTGTCAGTTTGAGACTCAGGCCAAGGGGCAAATAAAAGGCAAAAACCTGAGGTTTGGTGGCAAAAATTTAGTGCATGCCAGGACACCCTGTGCCATGTAATGGACTACCACGCTCACGTTCCTTTCACTGCTCCGAGCCAGAGGTCGCCATGAACCCTATAGGAGGAGGGCCCCAGAGCAGGTGAAGTCAATGATGAAGATCAAGATGAACAACCTCAGAGCAAGCTTTCCAGAACAGATGAAGAGGTGACATTTTAGAGCTGGTTTCATCTAACCAATGACCAAATAGATAGATTACCTTGTCCATTTGGGCTTTAGCTCTGATTTCTGACACTGTTGGTTCATACAGGGAAATTCTCTAATTAAACAACAGCTAAGGCTTACTGAGGAGCTCTGGTGGTGTACTGCCTAAGGCATTTGACTGCTAACCAGAAGGCTGGTGGTTCAAATCCACTAGCCACTCTGCAGAAGGAAGACTGGGCAATCTACTTGAGATACTGCCCCGGAAACCCAAGGAAGGGTTGCTATGAGTCGGATCCGACACAACAGCAATGAGTTTTTTTTAGAAGGCTTACAGAAAGGGGCTCTGGTGGTGCAGTGGTTAAAGCACTGAGCTGCTAACCAAAAAGTCAGTAGTTCAAACCCACCTGCTGATCCGTGGGAGAAAGACGAGGCAGTCTGCTTCTGTAAAGACTTACTATGGGGGCAGTTCTACTCTGTCCTGTAGGGTTGCTATGAGTTGGAATCAACTTGATGATAATGGTTTGGTTTTGTTTTTTAATGCTTACTGAGTACTTACTGCATGCCAGGTAGTGTCTAAGTGTTTTACATCTGTTAATTCATCCAATCCTTATAATAATGCTATGAGGTAAATACCATTATTATCCTGTTTTACAGATGGGGAAACAGAGGCACCAAATCCAATTGTGACTCATAGTGACCCTATAAGACAGAATAGAACTGCCCCATAGGGTTTCCGAGGCTGAACATCTATATGGAAGCAAACTGCCTCATCTTTCTCTCAGGAGGTGCTGGTGGGTCCACAATGGCAGCCATTTGGTTAGCAGCCAAGACCTTAACCACCCCAGCACCAAAACCAAAAACACCAAACTCACTGCCATCGAGTCAATTCCAACCCATAGAGACCCCCATTAGGTTTCTGAGGCACTAAATCTTTATGGAAGTAGATTGCCCCATCTTTCTTCCACAGAGTGGCTGGTGGGTTTGAACCATCAACCTTCTGGTTAGCAGTCAAATGCCTTCCACACTATGCCACCAGAGCTCCTTTAACGGAGCACAGAGCCTTGATAACTTATCCAAGGTTATATAGCTAATGGTCTAGAGCACATCCAAACCCTCATAGACATCAGAATCACCTGGAAGACTTGTTAAAACACAGATAAACCCAAACAAAAAACCAACCCAGTTGTTAAGTAGATTCTGACCAATGGCGACCCCATATGGTGCAGAATGGAACTGTGCTCCACAGGATTTTCAACGGCTGTGAACTTTCAGATGTAGATCGCCAGACCGTTCATCTGACTACCTCTGGGTGGGCCTGAACCACCAACTTTTGGTTGGTAACCAAGTGCTTAATGATTTGTGCCACCCAAGCAGCTTAAAATAGGGATAGCAGGACCCCAGCCCCATGGAATCTGGTTCCATAGGTCTGGGGTGAGAACTGTTTACTTCTAACACTTAGGTGATGTTGCTGCTGTCTTTTGGGATTAATTTAGAGCTATTGACCACATACACACACACGCACACACACACGCACACACACACTTCACTGCTCACACATGTGTATGTTCCTGTAGTGATCACCAGTGATAGCCATCCCCTGAAACTCCAAATTCCAGTCGTGGCCCGCATTGTGGAAGAAGTCATGTGGTCATGCCCATGACCAGGTCCTCCATCTCAGATCCTCCGAGGGCCTACAGCTTCAGGGATGGGGGAGGGGAGGCAGCTCCCTTTGATCATGACCCCGGGCACGATTTGAAAGTGCAGGGCCCTCAAGGCTTATATACAGTGATGATAAAATTCCAAAGCTCTATTGTCTTTTCATCTGCTGGCAACACATAGGAAACGCTATTTCGAGTGAGGTGCGGCCAGCTCCAGCCGAGGTAGGAACTCAGGGTGGGGGATCTTGGAGTCCTCGTCTGCTTTCTGCTACCGACTGCCTTGCTGTGTGGTCCTGAGAGGTTGCAGCTGCTTTCTCCCCTACCGAGTTTCCTGGTGCAGCTCTGCATCATAATAGCTGTTTGTCCTCCTTTCTGGTTAGGCAATGTTGTGAAGATAAATTGAGACAGAGGACAAAGAAGTGCTTCCAATAGTTAAAAGCACTCTACAAATATAAAAGGAGATGGGGGGAATATCTGATACTCTATAAAAGGCAGCTTGCAATTAAAAAACGGCTTTTCATGGAGGGACTGGCCACTAAGTGCTTTCTAGTAGCTTACTCGCCTTGCTGGTTTAAAAGCATCATTAGATTAAAAATAAATAATGATCATGTATTCATGTTCTTCCAAGAGTGTGTCTTAGGTATGAGCCCATCTGTCTTGAGAGGTGGGTATTGTCTGCCCAATTGTAAACTGGAACAAGAATCGCTACAAACGTGCCATGTACTGTTCTGAGCCTTTTCAAGGCATCTTATTTTAACTCTTAAAATGATCCCATGAATATGTGATCACGATCACTATGGTCCCTGTTTTACAGATGGGGAAACTAAGTCACAGAGAGGTTGGGTCACTGGCCAATGGTGGAACCGGGACTTGAACCTAGGTCCTTTGAGTCTAAGGGCTTGGCTTATAAACACGGTACTCCTCTCTCTGCCTCCCCTGTCTGCCTGTAAAGCAGCCTCAGAAGCACTATTCTTTGTTTTAGGGAGCTGTCTCTGCGCTGCGGACACTCTGCATGGGATCATTCTCTGTTATGGAGGAATGTCCTGTGTATTGGCAGATGTTTAACAGCATCTCCAGCTAAATCTGCCCACTAAATGCCGGCATGCTCCCCCACACACTGATCTCGGCTCCTTTTGGTAACTCGAGAGCCAGTTCCAGTGTGAATCCCGTGGCTCCTGTCCTTGATGACTTACTTACCACTTGATAGGCTTGAAAGGTGGCTTGTAACTGCTTGAGGCTCCTCTTGGCCAGGACTTCATTGAAGGCAAGCTCATCAGTGCCCCATCGGCCTTCCCCTGCCTTGAGGATGAAATGTAAACGTTTTGAAACACCTTCTGCAAAAAGCCTGAATATATAGTGCTGTAATTCCCACCATGCCTCACTAACAGGAAACCACAAAATATGTACTGAGTAGAAGTCAAATTGAAGGGCTGGGCACTTGAAGCTTCCGGCCCACAGATCCATCTATCTATTCATACTAATTATGTCTTTCCATGCTCCAAACAGATCTGAGGGGGTTAACCCCAGAGTATAAGACTAGGAAGCATCCTTTTAGGTTAATGGAGACTGTATATGTGAAAAGTATTTTAAAGAGCTAAGCACATCTTCATGCCTTAAAGGTCTTAATTATCTCCCATCTGCATGAAATAGAAGCACGGTGAAAATAATGCTAATGAAAGTGCCGAGACTGGCATGTCCCCACACTGACCTCATACAGATCTTTGGCATCCTGGCCAGCTAGATCTTTGTCAATGGCATCTCCTTCATCACGGCTGGCCTAGAAAAATGGACACATTGTTATTAACCTAAGTTGCTGCCTGACTGCAGAAAAAAGTTGTTGAAGACTGGGAGCGGCTTGGGAAGGGTGACCTGAAGCCCCACACCGCCTGGCAGAGCCAATGCCTGCTTGTGCTGCCATCTGTTGGGCACAACTGGTAAACAGAGGTGGCTTCTGTAGCAACACTTTTTTTTTTTTTTTCCTGTTTTTGGTAGAAACCAGGGTCATTCACTAGCCCCATTAGCCCTTGGGCAGGCTGGAAGTGACCTGATGGTGTCTCCTAAAGTGAACTCACTGGAAAGCAATTGAACTTCCTTTCAAACTACCGGTTTCTTCACCCAGGCTCCCAGAGCAGAACTTTGAGAGTCAGCCATGAGAAGACCCCCTGGTGTCTCCCCCAAACCCTGTGGGTGGTAACAGTTCCCCAGTGACCCACACCTTTGCCTAATCTCTTCCCATTGAACATGGGGCAAGACCTGTACAAAGGACAGCATAGCACCCCTTCAGTTAAGTCATGTCTATGGCCAAAAGGATCTTTGCAGATGTAATTAAGGTCCCTAATTAGGAGCTCTGGTAGCATAGTGGCTAAGACACTTGCCTGCTAACCAGACGGCTGGCGGTTCAAACCCACCAGCCACTCCTCGGAAGGAAGGTTGGGCAATCCTACTTCCACAGTGATACTGCCTCGGAAACCCAAGGAGGGGTCGTTATGAGTCGGGGCCGACTCGACGGCACACAACAACAACAACAACAACAACAACTAGTTCTTAAAATGACCCTAAGTTCTTAAAAGAAAAGATGGAAGAAATCAGAAAGACAGGCTCCTTTTTGGCCTGAAAGAAACCAAACATCTATGTTGTGAACTGCCCCCGGGGGCCCAGGTGGCTGGGAGCTGCGGATGGGCTCCAGGAACTGACAGTGGTCTCTGGCTGACAGCAAGCAAGAAAACAGGGACCTAAGCCATACAGTCACAAGGAAATGCATCTGTCAACAGCCAGTGATCTTAGAAGACGGCCCTAAGCCTCAGATGAGAGTTTCAGCCCTGTCCGACACCTTGATTTCATCCTGGTGAGACCCTAAGTGAAACGCAGCTAACCTGTGTTCAGACCTGTACGCATGGGAACAGCGTAATAATACACCTGGGTTTCTTTAAGCCATAGCTTGTGGAATTGTTACGCAGCAGTAGGAAACAAACGCCCCCTTCCCGGTGCAGTGGAAGCCTGTTCTCTTGTGTTCTATGCTATCAGCCTGGTCACATTGGCAGAAATGAAGCAGAGGAAACAAGCGGAGATAGGAAGATGGGTGTGAACGCAGGTGCTGTCCACTTGGATGCCCCAGGCTGGGGTCCTAGTGGGACCAATCCCGAATGCCCTGCTCTCCTCGGATCGGACTGGACAGCACTGTTCCTGTAGACCCAGACCCAGGTGAAGCAGGAAGGAAAGGCAGAGTTGTGTTGCCAAAAGGCCCTGCTTGGAGTCTGAAGGTCCGATTCTTGCTCTTGGGCTGTGTGAACCTGGGGCAGTTACTCACCCTCTCTCAGCCCTAGTTTCCTATTGGCAAATGGGATGGCCCTGCTTAATGAGACACTTTAGTAGGAAAAAGGGATTACAAATTGCTCATGACTAGGCAGATTGCTATTAGAGGTGATAGCCCCATAGAATAACTCCAAGTGGCTGGGGTGATGAAACATGGGTTGACGATCCCTCAATAACATTTTAACAACAGTAAGAAATCCCCTGGTAGCATAGTGGCTAAAGCACTTGACTGCTAACCAGAAGGCTGGCGGTTCAAACCCACCAGCCACTCCTCAGAAGGAAGATTGGGCAATCCTACTTCCACAGTGATACTGCCTCGGAAACCCAAGGAGGGGTCGCTATGAGTCTGGGCCAACTCGACAGCACATAACAACAACAACAACAAGAAATCCCCACATGCATTGCCATCTTCATCATGGTGCCATGTTACCACGGCCATTTCCCAGGGCCGTAAAGCAGGTGAGACCACTTTATTCTTACCTGTAACAGGGCCACCAGAATTTTTTTTAGGTTCCCACTTGTATCGCCTTTGATATCTGACTCAAGGTTTCTGTCAAATACTTTTGAGGAAGAAAAGAGGGGAGAAAGCAGGTTTATTTTCCTAGTGGTATTGTGAAATGAACATCCTTTTTGTATTATTATTGTGGTACATGTATATGTCACCGGTCATTTGTGTACATTCCTCACATGTACAGATTGGTGACCTGAGCTATGTTTATCACGTTGTTCAACCATCACGATTACTGGGTCCCAAATTTCCCTTCGATCTTACTGGAGCTCAGTGCCCCTGCACGAGTCTCCCTCTCCCTGCCCCCCCCCCCAACCTCCCCTGGCCACCGCTAGTTAACTAAGGAAAATGAACAGTCTTTATCTGAAATCAGAACAAAAGGTCACTTACGCCTTTGGTAGGCCTCTTTAATGGCGGTAATTTCCTAAAAAAGGTAATAAAAAAAAATCAATACTCCAAAGGTGGAGTTAATCAATAGGAGACACACAGACATGGGGGAAGAAGAGGCAGGATCCATATCTGGGTTGCCTTCCTTCCTTCCTCCTAAGAGGGCCTTTTGTGTGGGTCAGGGTGAGGCCCAGAGTGCGTCCCTGGAGCTATACAGGGACCCTCTCCATGCAAACATTTCCACCCACACAGTGATGGATGCACGCATTCTCCTGATTCAAAAACGGAAACATTACAGGAAGCTAACACCTCTCTCTACCACCTCTCCATCCTCCCACCCTCCCACTCTCCACCTCCACCCGCCCCCAGTGTTGGAAGTTCTGCGTGCATCTGCCATTAAGGTTTTTTTTTGCATTTGAATACATATATACATACTGCTGAAAACATACAGGGTTGTATTGTATGTGTTAGGTGTTTAAAAACTGGAGTACTGTACGTGTGTCGTTCTCTGACTTATTTTTTTCACTTATTTTTTCTCAAGAATATGTCTTGGAGATCCAGCTAGGCTTGTTCGTAGTCACCTGGTGTTTTTGGAACCAAAACAAAATACTGCATCCTGCAATAAACCTCAGTTTCTTTAGCCAGCCTGCTATCCATTGACATTTATGTTGTTTCCAATTTTTCTCTACTTCAGAGCTTCTGTCAGTAAGCAGCCTGGTTCCGCAGGGCTACAAGCGCCCCTCTCAGGGGTGGGTTTCCCTCCACGCTGTGTTATAGCTGCTGTCGAGTCGCTTCCGATTCACGGTGACCCCATTTACAACGGAACAAAGCACTGCCAGGTCCGGTGCCGTGCCCACTATGGGCTGCGTAGGGGGGCCTTGTGATCCATTTGCACTGGCTCCTTGTCAGAAGCAGATCTCCAGGCCTTTCTGCCTAGTCTGTCCTAGTCTGGAAGCTCCGGTCAAATCTGTTCGGCATCACAGTAACACCCAAGCCTCCCCTGCATATGGCGGTAGCTGTGCCCAGACTGCATTGACGGGGACTGAACCTTGGTCTCCTGCACGGGAGTTGAGAATTCTACCCCTGAACCACCACGGGAAAGTATTGCTTGACATTTCCAGGGCATGAACCGGTTTGCCCACACCAGGATCCGCCCGTTTACACTTGAACCAGTAGTGCATGAGAACAGGTGGTTCCCCACAGCACAGCCTGCAAACTGGTTAAAATGAAAGTCAGTGGGCAGCAGCAGGGAGCAGAAGGCCGTGGGGGGCTGTAGAAGGTGAGGAGCTGGGCTGCTTTGCTTTGGTGAGTGGGGGAAGGGTGGAGGCCTGCAGGGGCTGGCAGCTTCTGTTTCTCCTGCCCCCACTGCTTTCTCCTCCTGTCATCCCACTACCAGGATCTGTCAAACCTTGGGCACTCTTCCTCTTCTTCTCTTTACCACCAGAGCTATTTGACTAAGAAAAGGCCACATTTGTTGGTTGAGACCAGGAAGTGAAAAAAACTCTAGACCGAGGGGGAAGAATCTGTGGTCAAATAAGACGAGAAAAATAATGATGACATTAACCTCCTTGGTGACCCTGTGTCTCAGAGTAGAACTGTGCTCCATAAGATTTTCAGCAGTTGATTTTTTTTTTTTTGATGTTTTGGAAGAAGATTGCCAGGACTTTCTTCCGAGGCACTTCTGAGTAGACTCGAACTTCCAGTCTTTCAGTTTGCAGCTGAGCACTCGCCCGCCTCCTTGTCTGCCATAGCGTTGTTTGTACTTTGCACTAGATGATAGCTATGCAAACAGGCTTAGACTACCAAACGCATCATTCATGCCAGACCAGCAAAGTCAGGCTGGGAGGGGGGGAGAAGAATCTCGTTCCCTGCATATAAAACCGTGCAGCCATTTAGAAAGACAAGAGCTGGACGGACACGGTTCTTTTGGACAGGACCTCTCTTCTAAGCTAGGAGCAACAAGACTGACCTTTGGGAGACTGGAAGAGGCATCTCTCCTGCGGGGATCTTGCAGACTTGCTTTTGCCCAGCCACTTGCTCATCTTATGGGTAGAATCCAGGGGGATAAACCTGCTGCAACCCTATCTGAAGGGCGCATGGACATTTCCCCAGGGTCAGGGTCTGAGAGCTTGGCTGGAACTAACCTTATTGGACCTTGTGCACAGGACTTCAATGAGCACCGCCTCATCCGTGCCCAAACCCTTCATGGCCTTTTGTAGCTGCCGGGCGGCGTACTCACTGGGGCGGTCCAGAAGGGCCAAGGCTGTCTTCTCAAAGTTTCCACTCAGCTCACTCTTGAGCACCTCCTCCAAGTCCTGTAGGGACACAGTGAAAGACCAGACTGGAACAGTTCTGCTATACAGTGATAGCGGTTGACAGACACAGTGTGGGAGGTTGGAGGCCCACAGACCAGCTGGCATTTCAGGAGCCCCACATTACTCACCTCAGGATGGGGCTGGCTCAGTGGCATCAATAAGGGCTGGTGTCACCCAGTGTGGTAACTCATGGTGTCACTCCCTCCCAGGTAGGCAAGGCTGACTGGCAAACCTCCTTCCACCCTCATGTGGGGGAGCCATCTGCCTCACCAGGAATAGGGCTAAACGTGGTGCTGTGTGGTCACATCTCCTGGCCCCACCCCCTGTGGTTTCCCCACAGCTCCTCCCCTCTCCCATTGGCCAAGATGGAGACCCTCCTGTCCCTGCCCGCACCTGACTGGTGGGTGAAGTAGGGGTGGAGAGTGGGGGTGGTGACGAGTTACCACACTGGGTGACAAGCGACACCAACCCTAGTGATGCCACTGCCTTGGCAGCCCCACCCCTGCAACTCCAGCCTACCTGCCACTGCTGCAGACCCTGGCGTCATTGTGGTGTCACCCCCTTTGACACTCCCTGCACCCCTAGTGGCACCAGTTTGCTAGCTACTTAGCAGCATGGTATGGTGGCTAAGTCCACAGTAGCTCTGTGACCTGAGAAGTGTGCTTAACGTCATCAAGTGTCAGTTTTCTTCTCTGAAAAATGGGAATAGTAATAGGATTCATCTCATGGCATTGTTGGGAGAATTAAATGAGACAAGCCATGGAAACCCAGTGCCGGGCACATTTTAAAAGTTCAACAAGTGTTGTTATCTCATGCTGAAAGGAGCTTCAGATGAACTTCTGAGCTGTGGGCCTCGTGTGTTTACAGTCTGGGCAGAGAAGTGGGCCGAGGGTACATCCCTCTAGTCTTGGTTTTTCTGCTAATGAGCTGTGCTGCTTCAGATGGCTTTTCTCGTTGGCACTGAATGCCTGCCCTCCGGTGCGGGGCCTTCCTTTTGGCCATCTTTGACGTCTCTCTGGCTTGGTGGTTTTGTGGCTCTGGGCCACCTGTATGCAATCTTAGGGATGTGGAACACAGCGGACCCCAAAACCTAGCGGGCTTTTCTCCTTGCCCAGTGTTAAATCAGTGCAGGAACCCACCTCGGTCTTTCTCTCTGTTTATACATACAGTGACGGAAACTGTAGATGGGTTAGAACATGACATGATAACTGGTATTCATTTTGCATAACAATAATCTGTATGACATTAAGAAAAGATAAAATGGTATTCATTATCCATTAATACGGCAACAAGAAAACCTAATGCATACTTTAAAATTTCTATACATAACAGAAAAAAAAAGGCAGGCAGGAAGGGAAGAAATGAAAAGACAAGAAAATAAGGGAAGGAAGAATAAAAAAGGAAGCAAGGAAGAAAGAAAAGAGGTTTGATGCTTAATGAAATGGAGGTGTTTCTGTTTTCTCTAACAGTCACCGGTGAAGAATACCTCCGTCCTAAAGACAGCCAAATAGCTGACAAATCCTGTGTGTTTTAAGAGCAACCTGTGGAAACTGATTTTCAAGTCAATAGCCTACCTGTGGGAGCTCTGGTAGCGTAGTGCCTAAGGCACTTGACTGCTAACCAGAAGGCTCGCGGTTCAAACCCGTCAGCCACTCCTCAGAAGGAAGATGGGGCAATCTACTTCCGTAGTGATACTGCCTTGAAACCCAAGGAGGGGTCGCTATGAGTCAGGTCCGACTCCATGGCACAAAACAACAACAACAACAGCCTATCTGTAAACTGATATGTGGAATTAATCCAGATTCAGTGGACAAAAATGATTCAAGGGCTGAATAGAAAAAAATCAAATCAATTTTTGGAATAATGACTTAAAGAATATTGATTTCACAGGCTATTAATCTAACAAAGCAATTCCAGCTTTTCTGAAGTCAAAGATTTAAACGGTGGTTTTAGTTCATTACTTCTCCTTGACTAACTCTGCAAAGCTTTAACGACACTGTCCCCTGCCTCAAGAAACAGGAAGCGGAGGGCCAAGGCCAAGTCACCTTGCCATACGTCGCCTTGTACTTGTGCTTTATTTGTTGCCGCTCATCCGAAGTCCTGCTCGATAAGATTTCAATGATGGCCGACTCGTCGGTCCCTGGAGTGCAGGAGAAAGATACAAGCGCACAGTGAACAAGGAACAAGACGGAGGCCTGTTGGAGACAAGCTTAAAGGCCAGAGGTCTGATTGGATGCTAGACAGACCTTGCGGCACTAATGCCTTATGATGAAAACAGTATTCTTCACTCACTCATGAACAACAAACAGCACTGGGTACTGTGGTGGACAGAGGGCTGGGTATGAGCTGTTCCTTAATTCCACTCCTAGATTTTTTGTATAACTATATATATAGATGTACACACATAAAAACATATCTCCATGTATACATTTCTGTATATATGTATCTCCCCATGTATACATATTCCTATAATAGATATCCCCACATATATATATCCCCATACATATATATACATATATGTGTATGTGTGTGTGTGTGTGTATGTAGCTCTGGTAGCACAGTGCCTAAGGCACTTGACTGCTAACCAGAAGGCTGGAGGTTCAAACCCACCAGCCACTCCTCAGAAGGAAGATTGGGCAATCTACTTC